GGTTTGGAGACGAAAGAGCCGGAAGATCCGGTTCTTTCGGCTCGACTTAGTGTGTCGAGCCGAAAGAGCCGGTTCTCTAAAAAGAGTCGGAAATCCCATCACTACTTTAAATTATCTTAAATGAGCTTGTTTCACTTTCACGACCGAAAGGGGGCAGTACAGGGTTTGTTGTGGCCAATGACGTCAATCAGTTGACGTACAAGAACTTCGTCAAGTAAGTGAGAACGTAGCGGAAACTGATTAATTACATAATAAAATAATTGCAATCTAGCATTAAAATAGAACATGTTTCTTAATTGAAAATACGCGAACGAATACAAAGTTGTAAAACTGCAATGACAACATATTTTTAATTACTATTAAAAACCCAAAGTATTGCGAATTAGGCATCACAATGGATTTTATTTTGAAATGCTAACAGGAAACCTTTTGTATTTTGTCGGTCGCTAGTTTAACTTCACAGCATACAGGCACAGCCGAACGAGGAGTCTTTCCATTGTGGCGAGGACAGAGTTTACCGTTTGTACTGTTATATAATTTCTTACTCGTTGGGTGTCTTGCTGGCATACCTTTCTGTCGTTGATTGATAGCCGTTCAAGCGGGAATGGCCGAATCGAGCCCCAGATATCAGCAGGTAAGAGAAGGCTTAAAGTCAAGCTAAAAGACGTTAAAGCTTCAGTCGTAGGTACCGTCGTCTAAATGCTGTTAGCATCGAACTGTTAACTTCGAAGATAAAGTCGCCCAGGCGTGTCGCTTCGTGTTTGAAAACAAGACAACAATTTCCCGTCGAATAAAGATGGATGTCGACGATGGATTTAAGCCGATTAAATTGTGGGGGTTCTTATTTTAATCGTATAAAGGGTTAGGTGTGTTAACGGGAAGCTAACGCGCTAACGAGACGCTAGGGGTTTTAATTACGCGTTACGTGAATTTTGAACCGGGTTTTTCTTTTGTTCTGTGATAATATGTGGGCGTCTTTTTCATATTGAATTACAGTCTACCGCGAAAGCTTGCCAGCTACTGAGTATTGTTTGGTAAATAAGGTCAACCGTTGAACAATATCTCGATCACCTTTTGAAAAATATGAGAGCATTTAAACTGTGGCTATCACCTGAGCTGCACCAATGGGTGTGTTTACTGTTGTTATTAGAGCACACAGGCCGTATTAGATGTATGTTCATGTTGGTGTTTGATATAATAACTAATGATCAGGTGCATAGAGGCTAATTTGAGTCTACGAATTTCTCACTATGGGGGAAAAATACTCAAGATCTATTGACAGTAAAGGGAACTATATTTATAGTCATATTTATATAGATAGATACTTTAAGCATCTCAAAAAAGGAAATTACTGTGTTACAGCTGCCAGTGTAAAGAATAAAAATAAAAATATTATAATCTACAGTAAAAAGAAAACTGTCAAAAGTACCATAGGCCTGTAGTGAAGTTAAAGAAAACAAAAATAAGACTGGGATTGCGCCAAAGAGAATTTTATTAACAGTTACACTTTAATGTCTAAGCTACATAATGTATGATTAATACTCCTGCAGTCCTAGTGTTCCTGGAAACTGAGTTATGGCAATTGAACAATCAGTCTTAGTTTTAAACTCTTATTTTGGGGAAATAGGAGCAAATAAAGTCTCACTGTTTCTAAGTCATAACTGTGTTGGTCTGATTTCACAGACTTACCTGCTAACAGTTTCCTTGCTAATAACAAAAAAAAGAAAAAAAAAAAAAAAAACAACCAAAAACCTTTTTTTTTCTTTCTTTTTCCCAGTTCTGTTTTTCTGATGATTATATCAATGCTGAGTTTTAAGTTCCTTTTAAGTAGGTCAGGATGTCCAGTGTTGTCCCACAACTTTCAAACATGCAGGCTTCTTCCCTGGCTCAGAATAGGACACTGGGGGAATGCCTGTGCACTTGACTGGTCTTCAGTTTTATATCCAAACCTTTGTTATGGGACTTAACAGAAATCTGTCTTTTCTTGTAACTGGGACAAATATGGAAGTTAAAAAAAATCTGTATGGGGGCCAGTGCGTTTAAAAGTTCATTTGGGCTGAATTTCTCAATAATATCAAAAGTCTGCTTAATACTTAATATTGTAAAATCTTAAACAATGAAGAAGTGACATCTGTATAGTTTCTTATGACATGTTTAGATTTTATTTAATTTAGTTGACTAGTTGTGGGATTTTTTTTTTAATATGCAATATTTAATCTGCTGTTAAAAAGCTATTTGACTTGAAGGGCAGAACTGATCAGTCCTAGGACTTGTCTGTGCATCTTGACAGCAGACTTCACACCTTTAGTTGTCTTAAACTGTCTTGTTTCACTTCTTTAGAAAGGTTTCAACATTAAAACTAGCAGGCTTTTTCCTGGCTCATAATCTGCCTTAGGCGAGCGCGAAGTTATTTTTGGCCACTTGATAGGCAAATATGCATATGGAGGGTTTACGCATATATGCCTCACAGCTTTAACTGTGAACTTAATTTATCTTCCTCTCACAGCTTACCAATGAGGAGGACTCAGAAGAGAGTCCACAGGTAGCGGCTGATGCTCCTCCGCCGTACAGCAGCGTCACAGCGGACAATTCTGGTAAAAATGATGTTTCCTTGGAGCTGAAGTCATCTGTAGTGGTGGCATTTTGGTCCACACAGGAGTGCCTGAGTAAAAGTCATGTGTTAATAACCGCAGTGTACATTTTGTTGGAAAAGTAGTGAGCTAAATGCAACATGTAGCTGAGAAAGAATTGATGTGTTATTGGGCAAACTGTGTGGATATATTAGAATCCTCCAGAAGACACATGGGAAAAAATACAGGAAATTTCCTCTTTCACTGTTTCCATTTAGCCACCACTTGCAGACTAACCCCCTTAAAGGTTTATGTGAATGTTGTTCAGTGTTAGCTTTAGTTTTGTCTTTGTCAACAAAAGGATTGGACCTGTTTAGAATTAAATAATACATTATTTTTTTCAGTTTTGTGTGTGCGTGTGTTTGAAACTGTGCTTTATTTCTTCGCTAGCATTCTTTGACTGCAAGGAAGATGGGATTTTCCCCAAGCCTCCGTCATACAATGTAGCCACTACGCTGCCTTCCTATGATGAAGCAGAAAGAACCAAGGCTGAGACTAATGTTCCCCTGGTACCCGGAAGAGTGAGTGTCTCACTTTTTTTTTTTTTTTTTCTGCCTGCGGTCACATTCAGTACATACACTCTCTCACACACATACACTCGTACACTGATGCTTGTGCTTGAACACTTCCTGTGTTGTCTGCAAGGCACGAAGTCTTATCGCTCAGCTGTGGAATTTTTTTTTTAGTCTTCTTCATGTATGCGACTGTATCTTTTCTGCTCGTCTTTGTTACCGGATTGAACAAATGCAGATTCAAAAATGAAGAAAAACATTTCTTCTTGTTCATATCACATCATTCGTATTGTTTACTCAAAACCAGAGTAAATATAGGTGCAGCCTTTCTACTGTGTGACAAGCTTAGGACAGTCTGTAATGATGCAAAGTTTGGATTATATTTTTGTACCAGTAACTAACGTGTGACATAGCTAAAGCTAGCCACATAAATCGATGTTTCTGGTTGGTGTTTGTACTGCTGTTATATCAGTCCCAG